CCTAGCTTTCTCCCAAAAGCAAGGTAGAGATGCCATTCTAAGGACAATGCATTTGATCTTTTGTCCTTGGATATATTGCATATGCAGTAATGTGACCATTTCATTTCTTCGAGGCCTGCCCCCCAGAATCACTTATACTGAGCACTTTAAAACAATCTTTCTTAATCGTATAGGATCTTGGATTTGCCCAAATCACCTGTGGTAGAAATAGTTTCACTGTGACATCAGAGTGTCTTACACTTGGCTGAGAATATTCGTGTTAGAATATTCTGTAGCATGAAGTATGGTGGCATCAGACAAGTAATGTTTTACTTAAAAAAAAAATGCTGACTTGAAAGGTTTGGTGTAGCATATTTTCTAATTTACTTCCCTCACTTTATCCCTGAGCCATTTCTTCATTTGTTTACCCATGTGTTTGAGCTTCAGTGAGTGTAACATGTGCTGGCACAGTGTTGGGCACTTGGGACGTGACCCAGCATTAGCTTCCAAGAAACTTGCCACCCAAAGGGGGAGAGAGGTGAACAACAGCAACAACATGTGAAAAAAATCACTCGCCGAATTTGCTTCTGATTCGACACTGTTAATATTTAAGCTGCAAAGAACTAGTGTAAGATGTCTGCTGTTATTTCTAACTTTTTTAGAGGGAAAGGCCAGTTAAGGTTCAGAAACTCTTAAAAGTCACTTTATGTGCTTGGGAGCACTTTATGCCTAGACACAGAAACAGGTTGAGTGTCCAGCTGGCCACGTGGTATGATTTAAAGCTGCACCTCTTTCCCCAGCATCCCTGCAACAGTATGATACCTTATTATTCTTTGTAGTTAAGTCTTCCAAGACTTGTATTAAAATGCAGATACTTTTAACCCTAATGTCAATATCATAATCTAATACTTTAATAATTCTTTTAACAAAGTAAACACATTTTGTCTAAGTGTTCCTTCTGGCATTGCAGGTAGTTTTTGAAGGGTGCCTGAGGGAAGAACTACAAGCACAGGGTGTGGAATTTGGCTTGCTACAGTTTAAAAATCTAGTCCTGTGGAATGTATTGAGTATCTTTTATATGCAGGACACAGTCTACTGCCTTGGGGAGGGATTCCAAGAAACAAAGACACAGTATCTGGCTATAAAGAGTCTATATTCTTTTAGGAAAAATAACGCATCCGTGTGTGTGAATATCTGATCATGTGATAACAAATAGTGCCAGGCAGAGAGCAAATTTCGAATCCAAAGTACCACTGAAATGTGATATAAGGATTTGAGACAAGGAGACCCACTTCCAGCTGGGCTGATACAGGAGCAGTATCACAAGGTGGTGAGATTTGGACTGGGCTTGGAGATGACAGCAAGGATTTGGGCAGAGAGCGGAGCAAACACATGAGGGCAGGGCGGGGGGGATAGACCAAGTGGAGACAACAGTCAAGTGAGTTTGGGGGATAATGAGTAGATGGAACTCTTTGGCATGAAGGGGCAATAGAAGGAAAGAGTGGGAAAGTATATTGGGTACATGGTGGAGCATCTCCAGTTCCTTCCTGACAAGTTCAAACAGACTTCATTCCAACAGGCTTTGGGGAGTCAGGGAAGGAGAATGAGCAAAAGAGTGACATGATCAAAATTGTGTCTGAGATCATCCCAGCTTAGTGGCGGAATGCTGAATGGATTCATGGAACTTTAGAATCAGGAGGTCAGATGTGAGGCTAATAAAGTTGACAGAAATAAAGGATGTGACTGTAAAGATAGAAAGGAAGTGACAGATGTGACAGTCACTGGGAAAGAAGGATCACCTGGACTTCAGTCTTCTTGCTATAAACCACCACTTTATTAACGTGAGAAATCAGAGGCAGTGTAGCTTCGCCATTATTCGTGTGATTGTCTGTTGGGTCAGGGTCAGACACACCTGGCTCAAATCCCCAGGTCTTCACTTATTAATTTTGTGACATCAAGGTTATTTAACCTCCCAAGCCTTAGTTTTTCTCATGAGTTAAATGAGGAGAAGCATACATACCTCAAAGGGTTGTTGCAAAAATCAGCTGAGGATAAGATGATTGCTAAATAAAAGGCAGGTATTCAAAACATTGCTGTATTCCTTGAGAGAAGTAAAGCCAGAGCTTAATCTGAGAAGTAGCTGTATTTTTACAGACTTTGAGGCACAAGACTGTTGTTTTCATTTTTTCTAAGCAGACTAACCCAGTCCCTAACCACGTGTCCCACCCCCTTGTCATTTTCCCTCTCCCAACACACACAGTGGCCCAGTGATACTGTATCTCTGTACTTTAGTGTCTGACCACGTGCTCTGAATGTGTTATTTCTTCCTCTTTTGTTTTCTGAACTAATAGAAACAAAGGCATTTATTTAAAAAAATTTTTTTCAACGTTTTTATTTATTTATGGGACAGACAGAGACAGAGCATGAACGGGGGAGGGGCAGAGAGAGAGGGAGACACAGAATCGGAAACAGGCTCCAGGCTCCGAGCCATCAGCCCAGAGCCTGATGCGGGGCTCGAACTCACGGACCGTGAGATCGTGACCTGGCTGAAGTCGAACGCTTAACCAACTGCGCCACCCAGGCGCCCCAAAGGCATTTATTTTAAACTTAAATAATGTGCCTTGTTGTTGTTTGGCAAATAACATGGGTTTTTTTTAAGAAAAAAAGTCATGGATACCTATCTGCTGCCTGGCACTGGCTCAGTGATCTTCATTTTTCAGTTTTTCACAAGTTGTGTATCAGGTGTTGTACAAGGCATTGCAGGGGGTTTATAAAGATGGTCAAAGAGGTACTTCATAGTGGACCTGACATACATTGGTTGATAGAGTTTAGAAAGAGAGAGACTAGTTTCATGTCTGGTTTTATGATGTGAAATATGGGCACTCGGAACTGGGGCCTATGAAGCACAGGAACTGGGTTTCCGGGGAGCAGAGAGGGAAGAGAGTTGAGACTGCTTATCCTTCAGTCTTGGTGAGTGGGAGAGGAGGGAAGAAGATGGCAGGACAAAATGGGTGATGCATGGAGCCAGTAGCATTTGGTTGAGGTCCTCTGATTATACGACTGCTTTATTGATAAGGAGATGATACAAAACATTCTAAGAAACTGAGCCTAGCCTCTGCTGTAAGGTTCCTTGTGTCATTCATGGGCTTCTTAAAATGACAGTCAAGAGATAGTGCTTTCTAGTCCTGAGCTATTGGCTATTTTTATTGTATGGACACCGTGAGTTCTCTCAGTGACCAGGTACTTGTTTTCACATTGGCTGATAGATACCTCGATTGAAATTTGTGCCCACTGTTGTAAGAATAGCCTCCTGCAATGTGTTTTTCTATGAGCCTTAATTCTAGCTCCATTATAATTTCCCATTCTTGTTCCTTGCCCTTCCCTTCCCCATCCTTTTCCCCTCTTTGTCACATCCATGTAATCAAGACGTATCTTATATACATCTGCCTCAACTGCCGCAATTCCTTTCTGGAACAATGAAGAGAGTAACAAAAGGAAGAATGGCTTCCTCAAAAGTTCATCCTTTTCCTGGGACTAAGTCTGTGCAAAAAATAACAATTGAAGTGCAGAGGAAAGAAAGGAAATGAAGCTGTGGGAACAAGTAGCCCATGTTTTGAGTAACCATATTCTTGGGCAGGGCTCTGTGGCTTTGGGGAAAATTGCTCTCTTTCCCCAACATCCAGTTCCTTTGCTACACGGTGAAAAGCCGGTGCCTTCCTAGGTATTTTCCAAGTTCTTGAGTCTGTGATGTCACTGAGAGGACAGGTGGAGTCCACCTGGGCACAGTGGTTTCAGCCAGTAGTGACTTCACCTTTTATGCCTGAGGCAAGGCCACTGGAGCAGGAAGTCTGTCTGAACAGATGGTTTTCTTCCCGTCTGTCCGGGGCCACTCTGACTCTCTTTTTCCTTTCTTCCTTAATAGCCATGGGAGTGGTTGTTCAGGAGGGAACCCTGCTAAACTCCCTTTTCTCCATTTACTCTCACTGTGCTCTCACCCTGGGGCTGTCCTGTCCCTTGGGTAAAGAATCTTCTTCACTCCTTTTGAGCCAGCCCCAGGCTTCTACCTGCCACCATCTTTTGGCTGCTGTGCTTGCCCTTACCCTTTTCGTATTTGAATAAGAACTCACTCACTCTCTCTGCCCCTCCCTGGTTCATGCTCTGTGTCTCTCTGTCCCAAAAATAAATAAACGTTGAAAAAAAAAAAAAAAAAAAAGGGGGGCCCCTGGGTGGCGCAGTCGGTTAAGCGTCCGACTTCAGCCAGGTCACGATCTCGCGGTCCGGGAGTTCGAGCCCCGCGTCAGGCTCTGGGCTGATGGCTCAAAGCCTGGAGCCTGTTTCCGATTCTGTGTCTCCCTCTCTCTCTGCCCCTCCCCCGTTCATGCTCTGTCTCTCTGTGTCCCAAAAATAAATAAACGTTGAAAAAAAAAAAATGAATAAGAACTCACTGCCCAGCCTGAGTTAGGAGAGTTAGGTTGAGAGCCCTCACCAAGTTGCCTGAATGTACCGGCCTCCCTGCACAGCTCTCTTAGATCGGCTGTCAAGTCACTGGTCTCACCGGAGTTTTTCCTTCAATTACTTCCTGCCTGAGTTAGAGTGACCACTGCCATTCTGTGAAACCAAGCCCTGAAACTCTTTGGGGCTTTATTTTCAGCAATGACATCCCCTCGCCTTGAGATAAGTTGCTCCCTGTCATCTGCACCTGACCTTAGCTTCTGACTTTGAGATGGGTTCATCTCTACAAATTTACATTGTGAACCTCCTGTGTGCCTGGTACCATGATAAAAATCTCAAGGCTTCTGATGGTTTTGCTTGTCTCATGCCTGTCTTTCGTGTCTGCTCTGCCTCTGCCTTCACTTTGCTGCTTAATGATCTCTAGGCCCCAACTCTCTCTCCCTTCCCGGCAGTTTGGTTTTACAAACTTCCTCTCCTGTCCTGCCTTAATAGCTTTCAGCTTCAGAGGCATGATTTATGCTTCCTCAAAGGGTGAGGGTTTATTCTCTGAATTATTATTTCTTTTGCAGTTCTAGCGTGGTAAATCCAGCTTCCACCGTGATTGATATGTCCCAGGAAAACACAAGGAAGTCAGCTGTGTCTCCGGCTAAGGTAGATTGAGCTCAGACTCCAAAAGTCTCATTTTTGGCAGGAATGCCATTTTTCTCATTGTATCAAAGTACCATGATATGACGAGGATTTTGTAGTCCTTTTTTGTGCCAAATATAGATAATTTTTACTATTTTATGTAAGAAGTCACTCTTGTTGTGAAAAAGTTGGTGAATACCATGTTTCTACATTGCTGAAGACCCCAATTTCTTTCCCTAGAGAATAAAAAAAATCCCCTGTTGGGGATTGCTGCTTTTAAGCATACGGAAAGTAGCTTGTTAGTTCCATATCAGTCCATGTTCCTATTCATAGCTTCCTGAATCTCTGTTAGAGTTCTGCTTATGGGAGGGTATTGCCAATTTATGAAGGTCAAGACAATAAGCATATTCAGTCTTATATTAATAAAAAAATTCTATTTACTGTTCCCCTTTCTGTCATTGGAATTGATGATCATAATAGTGATTATGAAGCACTCCAAATACCTTGATAAGTGTCTTTTAAATCTTTATAGGAAAGGTCAGTTACAATTGTATTTAGTTCAGCTTTAATCTAGCACGGTGAGAGTCTTTTATGTAGAAAGAGCATTGGGGGAATCTGCCCTGATCAGTCTCAGCTTTACCCCAACCTAGACTAGGCCCAAGTTTTCTCACCTTTGTAAAATGTGAGGTTTAGATTTGAATGCCTGGTTCTGGTCTAACTTTGTAGGACTCTGGGATTGAGTATATTTTATACAGTTTAATTCTGGTCTGGCATATTTGGTAATTCTCTGTCACCCACATTAACCAGGACAGTAATTTTTCAAACATGCCAGACAGAGTTTACTGGATGAAACTATCAAGTTTTGGAACTGATAAGCCTTTGTTAACACTGAGTTGCTGCTATGACGTTTAAAATGAGTTTAATAAACAATATTTTTCCCCAGCAAAGGAAGAACCCATTTAATAGCTCCAAGTTGCCAGAAGATCACTTATCTCAACAAACCAAAAGTGAGCCGTCAAAAAATGGAAAGGCTGGTTTCTTTCAGACTTCAAAAGAAGGTAAATATTATTTTTATGGACTAGATATTTGTATCTTTGTTATCTGTGGACCAAGGGAAATTCTCAGAGTTCCTTTAACTAAAAGAACTTTCAAGAGAACGTGAAAAGTCCTGATGATTTTCTTATTCTACTGTGCCCATTGGTTTCCTGCCTGAGGGAAGGAAGCAGAAATTTTAGAAACTGGAAGTTCACGCATTCCAGTCTTGGAGCTCACACTTGTTGTTTGACCTCCAGGCCTTAGGTACCCCCTCAGTGAACTGGGGAATTTTTTGACCAGAGGCGTTCATTCATTCATTTAACAGCACATATTGGCTGTGTACCATGTGAGGACATTCTTTGTGTAATGAAAAGAGTTTTTGCCTTAAGGAAAAAAGGCCACTTGACAATGTTATGATCCTCTAATCTGTAATTATCAGCCTAGTCCCTCAGGAGGCATTTGATCAGGTTTGTGACTTAATTGATTTAAGTCTGCCTTTTACAGAATTTTACCATTCTTCCATACCATTAAGAAGAAATACTAGACAATTCAGTCTCTTCAAAAGCAACTATAAGAAGAGCCCTCAGGCATTAAAAATTGGACAAGGGGTAGAAAATTAACATTAAATAGTGGAGTTGGAGTATCAATTATCCTGTTTTAATATTAGTGTACTTCCCCCCTCCATTGGATACACATTATATTACGTAAAATATTTTACAGAAAAAAAGGCACTGGAACATGCTACCCATTTTTTTTTTTTAACTTTTTGGAAAAAACTAATTTTTGTTTTAGAGATTTTCTTTTTTAAAAAAAATCGAGATTTTCTTTTTAAAACACTGAGTTCCTTTTTCTAGTTTCCATACGTGAATTTAAAAAAAAATTTTTTTTTAACGTTGATTTATTTTTGAGAGTGAAAGACAGGGTGCGAGCAGGGGATGGGTAGAGACAGAGAGGGAGACACAGAATCCGAAGCAGGCTCCAGGCTTTGTCAGCACAGAGCCCAGTGTGGGGCCTGAACTCACAAAGCACGAGATCCTGACCTGAGCCGAAGTCGGACACTCAACTAACTGAACCACCCAGGCGCCCCAACATATGTGAATTTTTTAAGTGACTTCTGTGTTTTTCCTTAGCCTCCTTAAGGAATTTTAAAAATTTTTTTCTAAAAACTTTTTTACTGAGTATAAAAATACCTCAAAGTATGGATGTAAAGCACAGTAATCTTAAATGTACAGTTCAGTGAAGTTCATGAATGAATTTTATAATGCTTTCTAATTAGGTCTGCACTTACACGAATACTTTGTTATCTTTAATATTTTATTTTACTCTGTTTGCTAAATGTACATTAAATTCGTGATAGGTGTTTTAAATTAGGGTTATTCTCCATTTGGTATATCACCTAACATGTTTTAATTTTCAGGTGAATTGTCAGAGTCAAAAGAAGAATTGTCGATCCCAGATATTTCAAGCCAAAATTTAGAGAAACCAAAGCAGACATTTCCAGGCCCTGAGAATGGATCTCAGATCAAAGCTCCAATCCCCAAAGCCAGGAAAATGCTCCACAAATCACATGAGTTAAAGCAAGCTGATAACCAGCCTTTTCCTAGACAAAGGACAGACTCCCTGGGTGCAAGGGGGGCTCCGAGAGGGATCCTGAAGCGCAACTCCAGTTCTAGCAGCACAGACTCTGAAACGGTTCGTTTTCTTCAGAACTTTGAACCCAAAAGCAAAATTGTGTCACCTGGCCTAACCATCCATGAGAGAATTTCTGAGAAGGAGCATTCCTTGGAAGATGACGACTCTTCAAACTCCCTGGAGCCATTAAAACATGTGAGATTCTCTGCAGTGAAGGATGAACTCCCACAGAGCCCTGGGCTAAGCCATGGCCGGGACATAGGAGAATTTAGTGTTTTAGAATCTGACAGATTGAAGAATGGAGCAGAAGATAAAGTGGACGTAGATGAGTTTTGGAATGACCCTAAACCTCCCCAGTACAGAAAGCCTTTGCCTTTACATCAATCAGCCTCAAGCCCAAGTGCATCAAAAAATGAAACATGTCAGCCAATGACTTCTGGTTCTTTTCCAATTAATGGGCACCGTTCTCCCTCACAAGTTTTAACTACAAGACCAGAGTCCATTGAGAATTCACCTACCATCAATGAACACAAAGCCAAACCATCAGAATTGTCAAGGCTTAAATCAGAATTGTCCAAAAGCCCTGCTGGTAAGAGTTGTTACTACCAGGCTATAAAAGCCAACCCAATGGGTTTGGAATGACCAAGCCCAGCCCTGTAGAAGCCCCATTTTGCCTCTTAGACATTTCAGCTACAATTCAGGCAGGTGCCACTGGGGAATGATTATACTACCTTCTAATGGGTTTGGAGGTAGTATAATCACCAGTAAATAAAGGGATAACTCAAACTAAAACCAGGCATACCTGGGTGACTCAGTTAAGCATTGGACTTCAGCTCAGGTCATGATCTCATGGTGAGTTCGAGCCCCACATTGGGCTCTCTGCTGTCAGCATGGGTCCCTCTTCGGATCCTCTGTCTCTCTCTGTCTCTGTCCCTCTCTCCTCATGCTTGCTTGCTCTCTCTCTCTCAAAAATAAACAAACATGAAAAAAAAACACACACACACTTTCTGGCCCATTATGCTTTTCACTAAAAATTGTTAGCTACCAATAATTTAACTAAACAAATTATAATGTTTTGAGTTAAATCAAGGTGTGTATATAGAGTAAGAATTAAATATATGCTAATATCTTTGTACAGGATATATTATTCAGTTATTTTATCAATTACCTTTAATCAAACTTTGATATTTTTTTTTGAAAGAGAGAGAACAGGGAAGGAGCAGAAAGAGAGAAAAATCTTAACCAGGTTCCATACTCAATGCAGAGCCTGATGTGGGGCTCAATGCCAAGACCCTGGGATCATGACGTGAGTTGAAATCCTGAGTCAGACGCTTAACTGACTGAACCACCCAGGAGCCCCTGACTTTATTTTTAACCTCAGAAGAACCTTCACTTTGTTAGCTCTGAAGGATGGGAACTTAGAGTTCTAGTACTTACTATGAAAAGCCTCAGACCTTGGCTTGCCTGGGGCCACCAGCCATGTGTTCTTAGATGTTAAAAGCGCAGAAGGAACTTTGTCCTTAAGCTGCTGGGAGCAGAGAGGTGAAGGGAATACTGCTTTTTCCTGCTATCTAGATAACTAGCCCTCTCTTGAAAATCTTACACCTCTCAGGAGATGAGACACTGTTTTCCCAGACCCATGTGATTACTTCATAATTCTTATGTTTTATAAAACAGGAACAATGGAAAAAATCATGTTGTATACTCTTTCCCATCTTCAGTAGTTCTTCATCCAGCCCTATGATGATGTCTTTGTAGTCCAGAAAATTTACAATAGCAGCAGCCACGTGTCTGATGCACTCTCTCTCCTCCTTCCTTATTAGTCAGTACTAAGTTAACTCTGAGTCACTTTTGCTCAGCCCTACAGTTTTATACTTGTTCAGATCAATCCTCTTCTTAAAGAGCAGAGCACTTTCAATCACCCCCCTGCACCCCAGACATTTTAGTTATTTGAACACAAAGGAATATTTTTTTAATTAAAAATTAGCAGGTGATTCTTCAATAAAAACACCTCATGTTAAAGAAAATTACTAAAGTTTCATAGACACTGGCAAATAATTCTATGGTGTTTACTTAAATATTTATTCAAAAGATGAAAAAATTCTTTAATAATATTTTCATTTACTATAATCCACAGAAAAAAATTGGTAAACCTTTCCTGTTTTTCAAACTGCACCTGCTTTCCCACAAACTACAATTATGTATTAACTATTTGTGTTTTCTGATTTTTAAATCCCAGCTGACCAGGAAATTTGAGAGGAAGGCATCATCAGTTACACCTGTTTTGATTGATGGGCCTCCTGGCCTTATAGCTTATATACAAAGTTCTACTTACTTATTAATGCCTTGCTTACCAAAAAAATATATACAAGTAAATAATGAAGCGTAAAAAGAAAATAGGCTCCCAAAAATGATAAATGCAAAGTACGTGAATTGTAAGTGTTTAACTTTAGCTCTGAGCTTCAGGACAGTCAATATCACATTCATTACTACCTGGAAAATACAAAAGAACTCCTCAGAGGAAATTAAACATTACCTGGCATCAAATATTTAAAATAACTGTTCTTATTTTAAAACTAATATACTTTTGGGGCTCCTGGGTGGCTGTGTCAGTTAAGCATATGACTTCGGCTCAGGTCATAATCTCACAGTTCGTGGGGTTAAGCCCTATGTCAGGCTCTGCACTGACATCTCAGAGTCTGGAGCCTATATAGGATTCTGTGTCTCCCTTTCTCTCTGCCCCTCTGCCTCTCATGCTCTGTCTCTCTCATTCTCTCTCTCAAAAATATATAAATATTAAAAAAAAATTTTAATAAAAAATAAAAGTAATATAGTTTTGTTGTAAAACATTTGAAAAGAAGTGCACACAGAATGAAACAAATATTATCTGTGATGTCATCAGCCAGCATTAGCCACAGTATTGCTAACATTTAATTGTAGAGCCTTTCAAAAATTTTCAAGCATGACTATAATTTTAAATTATGTTTATACTGCCAGATTTCTTTTTTTCCTTATAGCATATTATAAGCATTTCTCCATCATTAAATAGTCTTCTGTTAAACAAACTAACACAGAATTCTTAAAGATTTCTCAAAAGAACTTCACAATTATTGACATATATTCAATAGTACAATGGGTAGTTACCGAAACCAATATCAACCATGTGCCAATTATTGTGTAACACTTTGTTGTTTTCACGCTTAGCCAGAGTTGATGATTAAAATCAAAGATAAAATTTTATTAATTGAGATGTCCTCTAGTGCATTTGAAATGTAGCTGATTTCATAAAAATTCTGCTGATGTAATTTTTAGGAACATGTATTGCATAGCTTAGCATTTGTAAGGAAGAGGGAGAAATGCTGAAACACTGGAGTCTTTTTTTTTTTTAATGTTTATTTATTTTGAGAGAGAGAGCAAGCCAGCATGTGCATGCATGAGCAGGGGAGGGACAGAAAGAATGGGAGAGAGAGAATCCCAAGCAGGCTTTATGCTATCAGAGCAGAGCCAGAGGCAGGGCTCTGCACCGGGCTCAATCCCACAAACCATGAGATCATGAGCTGACCTGAGATGGAGTCAGATGCTTAACCAGCTGAGCTACCCAGGTGCTCCTGAAACATCCAAGTCTTAACTAAAGGGGAGAAATGCCTGAGCTCCCTTATCTAAGTGTACCGTGTGCCCAATAATTAAGGCTCAGACAGGATTCTCTCTGCTTTCTTGATAGCTTAGCATAAACTTAAATATCCTTCTCTAGCTTCCTAGCCATTGGTCAGCCAACATCAGGGAACAAGTTGAGATCACATTCTCCATCAGTCTTCAGTTTAGTTTATTTGGCTCATAGAAACTACTAAACTCACAAACTATATCAGGGAAATGGAAGATAACAGAGGAGCCTCTTGAGATCATGGTCCTCAAACTCCAGTATGTAGAACAATCAGTGGGATAACTGTTAGTAAAGATTCCTGGGCCCCTCTTCAGAGATTCTGCTTTAATGTAGCAGGAGTAAGGCCCAGGAATGCAAATATCTTCATTGTAACATTCTTATACTCTGGCGGAAGCTCCAGAAAGTTGTTTTCCCAATTCCTGAATCTTCTGGTCTATGTTCCTCAAATGTGGGTATAAGCCCCCTCTAATGTTTATGAGTATGCCAGTGGATTGGTGGAGTCACAAAATCAACATGTTGTATCTTCTTAGAGTGTCAGTTTTATACATAGATTTGAGAGTAGAAGAAAATATTTAAAATGTAACATAGGGGGACCTGGGTGGCTCAGTTGGTTAAACGTCCAACTTCAACTCAGGTCATGATCTCATGGTTAGTGGGTTCAAGCCCTGCATTGGGCTCTGGGCTGACAGCTTGGAGCCTGGAGCCTGCCTCGAGTTCTGTGTCTCCTTCTCTCTCTGCCCTTCTTCTTCTTGTGCTTTGTTGTGCTCTCTCTCTCTCTCTCAAAAATAAATGTTGAAAAAAATTTTAATGTAACATAGATCAGAATACTAAATTCACATGAATTTTTACTTTATTTTAATTTAGCTCTACCCCTGACATGGGGCTTGAACTCATAACCCCACAAGATCAAGAGTCACATGCTCCACCGACCAAGCCAGCCAGGTGCCCCCATATGAATTTTCAGTATAAATCAGAGACTTCAGAGGAATTTCTCAATTGGGTCTATATCCCATATTTCAGAGGTCTACATTTACCTTCCTTTACTGTCATAGAGCAACTCTAATAGAATATCTTAATTAAGATTGTTTATATTATAGCCCCTGAAAAGTGTGAATATAAACAGCTAGTGGTATGGAAAGTGTAAATACAAAGTGCCTCTTCAAAAGATAATGTGAGTGATTGAATAATAATTCTTTAAGCATTCTCTTTTCTTATTTAGAAAAGCATTTCTGTGTTGCAGATGGACTGTCTTGTGTTGAGCCTGAGCCATCTCAGGTGCCAGGTCACAGTTCTAGAGACCATCAGCAAGGTAAGCCCCCTCTTCTCAAGTCCCTAAAAGCAATGACGTCCTCACACTCTGATCCATTTGCCACTGAGATAAGGAAGACAACTGATGATTCCATATCTAAAGTCCTAGACTGGTTTAATCGAAGTTGTCATTCAGAAGACAATAAGTCATCTCTCCAACATCCCCAAGGAATAGAGCCCAAAGAAGAAATAGACTCAGAATCACGGGTTGCTACTACCTTGGTGACAGATGACACCAGTGTAAAAGAAAGTGGTTCAAAGGCTCTATTATCTGCCAAAGTTAAACTGACACCTGTGGAATCTGATTTGACATTCCAGGAAAAGGGAAATATGCTACCTTCTGGAAATTGCCAAAATAATAATGTGAATATCAAACCCAAACCTATTAATTTGTTCCAACAAGGCAAGGAAGGTCCAGGCATATTGCAATCATGTGAAATCTATGACCCAAATCAAGGGAGTAAAACTATGGACTATAGCCAAGGATCGAAAAACATAGGAGAAGGAAATCGGGTACTTCCCCCAACCAGTAACTATTCCTACAGTGCTGTCACAGGACCTGATGCAGAAGACCAAGTTCCATGCAACATTAAAGCTATTGGCACCTTAGGTGAAGAAGAGCCTAAGCTTCATGGTTTTGAAAAAAGTAGAGGAAACTCAGAAGTGAATTTTGACTCTTCAACACTTGTCAAAGAACCAAGTTTGAAAGACAACATGAAGACAGAGAAAAAGAGCAAAGAAGAAGATACATACATCCTGAAAGCTTCCTTAGAGCCAGAGTATATTGAGTCACCACATGGAATTGCCAAAGACAAATCTTGGAAGAAGCCTGAAGTCCAATTACAGGATGCTGTTGAGGCTCCCAAGAACCAAGTACAAAGAGAGAAATACAAAAGAGTAAGTGACAGAATATCTTTTTGGGAAGGTGAGAAAGCTGCTGCTAAATTAACTCATAAAGAACCCACATCATCATGCAGTCAAGGGCGACCTTCTGCTAAAGCATATCAGCCTGTGAAGTCCATGGACAATTTATCTACAGGCCAGACTGAATATAATCAAGTCATTAGCAAACAAGTGGTCCTAGATGACAATGGCCACATAGCCCATCTCTCCAGCTTTTATTCCTCGAATAAATCTAAAGAGACCAGGCCTCAGAAACCAGGTCCATCCAAAAATTATCCTTCAGTTGACCAATCAGGTGAAATGTCTCCTTTTCAGAATAGGATAAATGAGCCTATAAAAATGTTGCCAGAGGCTGAGAGCTGGCATTATAAAAGGGATCTTACTTTACCATCATGGCAACATCCTTCAAATGTTGCGAATAGAATATATACCCCTTTGGAGAAAGACAGATCCCTAATTGGTGAATCAAATCCCAACTTTAAAGTTATGTCCCTAAAAGAAAGAATGGATGAACCCAATATGGAACAGGTCTATAATCACTCTCAATTTGAGAATTTGAGAAAGTTTTGGGACTTAGGAGCCAATACAAATAGTCAAGACAATGTTGAGAAGAATACTACCATAGTAAGCCAAAAACCTTTGGTGCCTTTTAATAGCCAGAAACACAAAGAACTCAGTGACATTAAATCATCAGGAAAAAATATCCATGAAATAGGGACACTTCCAGGTAAAAAAAAATTACCAGCAAGAGAGGAAATTGAGAAATTAAATTCAAAGTGCACACTCCAGGTGTTACCAGACGAAACCACATTTCCATTGAGACCATCCAGAAAGTCTGCTCATCAGTTGCCAGGAAATGAGTCATCAAAGGAAAATGCGAAAAAGAATACGGAATGGTTTGTTACACCAGTGTTCAAGGAAGAAAAGGATTACTCAGACCAAGAGATACAAGAATCAATAGTAAAAACAAGTGTTTTGTCTAAAGACTACAAAGACACTTTTAATGACAACTTACAGAAGTTACTTTCAGAAGCTTCATCACCAGCCATGCAAACTTCTGTTGGAAAAGTTCATGAAAAACAAGTGCCTGAACGAGAGATTTCTGGAAATAAAACATGGCCTCATGACACAGATTTTGTTGATACTGAGGGAGAAGACAGAGGACATGAGGAGATCATTAATGAGCATGTAGACAAAACAGTAGCTCCTCCAAAGGTCAAACCGAACACTTTGACTGCTAGTCTAGACAAACTCCTGAAGGAAGCAACTGGGACTTCACCTTCTCCCTTACCAACCATGTTAGAACCTGTTACCACTGGGATCAACTCTGAGCCTGAAGAGAGTAGAGTTTATGAAAAAGGGATAGAATGGAGTCACAACATATCAGACTATCAAAAAGAGATAATAGCTCCTTTTCCAAAAGGGGAAGAAACTTTGGGAAATGCAGCTCTCCTTCAGAAAGCTGAAAGTGGTGAGTGCCAGCTAAACATGGAGGATTTGTGTCAGATGGCTGCAGAAAGTTCTCACTCATTGGGTCGACCTTCTCATCTATACAGAAAGGATTCTTTTGGGGATGTGGCCAACTCTCCCCAAAAGATGCCTTATTCCAGGGATGCTCATCTTGCTCCCCAGGATAAGGCATTACCTTCACAAAGGGAAATTTCAGAGACTGTGGAAAAAGTCATTCTTCCACCTAACCCTGCCTTGAAGTATGTAAATGCTACATTACAAAAGCTACTTAGAGAAGCTTGGTTGAGCTATCCAGTTGGGAGGGGAGTAGTGCCTGGAGAAGTAAAAGCAGAATTTCCTGAAGGAGTTGAGGCAGCAGGTAGCCCCCAGAATTCTACACCATGGGCTATAACGGACATTTTAATTCCAGACAGAAAGGATTTTTATCCCTTCACCGTAGTTCCTGATAAAACTCATAAAATTGGATCTTACTTAGCTGCCCGAGTATCTCCATCAGAACAAACCCTTTGTTCATCTGATTGCACTGTTACTCAGTATGGCAAAAAGTTATCCCAGGAAGTGGCAGAAATTGTGAAGGAAACAGTTATTCAACCTAAATCAGAGTTCCTAGAATTCAGTGCTGGCTTAGAAAAACTACTGAAGGAAGCAGTTGAAAGCCCCTCCTCAAAAAATGAAAGTGATACAGGGACTCTTTCTCCATCAAAGCTAACAGGTAGTACTGAGGTGCCCAGGCAAGCTGCTTCTGAATTCCATCCTGAGGAAATCAAAGAAACAGTAAAAAAGTCTGAGGTGCCATCAATAACTGAGAGTGCTTTTGATATGGGTTTTGAGAAACTTTTTAGAGAAGCATCGGAAACTCCTTCTTACCTGCTCCAGTTGTCAGTGAAGGAAGAAACTCCCGAGAAGGAGTGTCCACAGTCAGAGCAGGACAGTTTCTTGAAGACAGTGCCCCATTTTTACTGGACAGCCTCAGAGGCCTCTGAAAGGAAGCTTAAGAATAATGTTCTCAAATCTCAAGTCAACCAGTGTGATGAAGTGTTGGGCAGACACCAAGCTATGACTGATTTATCAGTAGATCTTTGTGGTCCTGACAGTGGGGTTGAGATCTTTGGAACCCCACAGCTCTTTGCAGAACATAAAATAGGGGTCACTGAAACTATAATAGCCCCAGAGGACAGGGACAGTGAAAGTCAGGTTGCAGGGGTTCAAGAAGGGACTTTTCAGGAACCTGGCTTTGAAAAGGCTCCTAAAGCAATGAGTGTGTCCACAAATAGGCAACCCATTTCTATCCTGACAGACAAAGCAAACCCTACAAAAACAAGTAAAGTTGAATTGATTCCGGCATCACCATGTAAGAGAGAAGAGAAAAAGGAAGAGAAAGAAGGTTTCTCTGACTCTGATTTTTCAGATGGAAACATTGGTTCCAATGCAGAAAGCTGGAGAAATACCTCTAGTGAGCATTCTGATTTTTTTAACCTGTTGGTTAATGAATTGATTTGTGGAATGCTGATGTAAAAGATGATACAGTTTTTACAATTGAGATTAATTTGACATTCCAAGTGGTGCTAAATTCTTCATATCACTTTAGCTCTACCTAGCCTTTCTTAATGAAAAGCTACATTTCCTCTTATATTCTTCTTTTTTTTCAAGTTTATTTATTTATTTTGAGAAGGGGGGTGCAAAGAGAGAGAGAAGGAGAGGGAGAGAATCCCAAGCTGGCTCAGCATTGTCAGTGCAGAGCCCAGTGTAGGGCTCGAACTCACAAATCATGAGATCATGACCTGAGCCAAAGTTAGATGCTTAACCAACTGAGCCACCCAGCCTCTTTTTATTCTTTAATCAAATCAGTTACATAGAGACAGTTTTACCCACAGGCAGTGTTTCAGAATCTGACTTTATTCTCATTAATCACAATAAAATTTTTAGGTTTTAGAAGTATTTTTTAAAGAACTTTTTGGGTTTAGAAAGTACTTCTAAAACATCCTAGCTAGTTTTCCTCCTGGACATAATTAGAATTTCATTCTTAATGGGCAATCCACACAGAAGTCTCTAGTAAGATTTGTGGCAAGACAGTGCCACAAATGGACAGACATTTCCCTTTTAGGATGAATGTTTTACCACAGTAGGGGCTAAATACCAGGAACAAAGTGCAAGGTTGGAACTTTCTTTCCATCAGATACATAGTACTGTGGTGTTTTGTTGCCACTCTTTTCCTCTTGTGTTCAGTTATCTGCAGAATCTTTCCCTTCTCTAGAGTATGACTTTGGTCAGATGAATTCACCTGGTTCCACCTGAAGGCATCGCCTGGCCTGATGCATTTCTTTGACTCCAACTTTGGCCAAATGGATGAAGATCTTAATTGATTACCACATTCATCTGAGCGGACTTGGGGGTAGTGGTTTCAGCCAGGCTGTAAGACACGGGGCTTGTCTCTGTTTGCTATTGTGATCAACATGGGCATTTTAGAAAAGAAACCCAGAGACAAATAGGAATGAGAAGTTACCCAATTATAGTGATTAAATGATAAAGGATGCTCTTTGGGAGGGACATTTTAACCAAAGTTGCACAACAGCTAGTGTCAGTCACCCTCCTAGTAGTTTTAAAAATTTGTCATTTTTGAGTCCCCTCAGCATCGATGAGAATGAGTAAGTCTTACTGGGTGGATGACTTGTGAGGTTTGGTTTCCTTTGCAAGTAACTGTAGTCTTCTCTTCTTGAAAACTGACCAAAGTATCCCCTTTAATCCTAATTAATCAACTTGGAGCCCCTTTAACAAAGGTTGTTGGTAAGCAAAGGAAAGTGATATACCAGTCTCTGAAACCAGACATTTGCAAGAGTATAAGTCAGTATGTTAAACATGCTGAAGTAGACTTTTACTAAAGTACCCCATTAGAGACGAGGGTGAAGTGACCCTAAGAGGGTAAATTTGTACTTACTTTGGAGACTATTGCCTAGTGTATATAGGTTTGTTTATAGTATATCAGGATAACCAATTAGACAGTAAAAAGCCTATCTAAAAATGAAATAATATTAAATAACCACCCAGAGCTTAGAGAAGATATTTAAAATTCATAAGCCAATAAGAGGTATAAATTAGTACAGTTGTAATTTTATATCCCCTAACCTAAATTTTTATTTGAAAACAAACAGATGGGGGTAGGGTGGGAGAGGGAGGAACCTGGCTACAGTAGCACCACAATTTGGGTGAGCAACTTAACATGTTTGATATGTGGCTGAGCTCTTAACCAATACCTCAGTATGCTCCTTACCAAAAAAAAAAAAAAAAAAAAGTTTCCATGATTAAATACATTTGGAAATGCTGGGAAATTATGCACGTTATTAGCATATTAAAGTCTATAAGACGATCTGTAGTAAGAAACCTTTAAATCTGAACACAAAGCATCTCATATCTAATTCATCTTAGAGTCCATTTGCTCTAGAATGCCTGTTAACACTGGGGAGAAATGGGATGCATTTCAGGAAAGTACTGTGTGGAGAAGTGCTTCCCAAATTCATTGGCCCATTAATGAAATCATGCAGTGATTTAGCAAACATTTTTTGTTTTTAAGTAGGCTCTACATCCAACGTGGGAATTGAACTCACGACCCTGATATCAAGAGTCACATGCTCTCCAACTGAGCCAGCCAGGCGTGCCTGGCAAACATTTTTGAAGTGCTTATTGTCAGCCACTGTTCTAGGCACTAAGAATACAACAGTGATAAATGACAATATTCAGACCAGGGCTAATCCATGATGGAGTTTTCACTGTCAAAATGAAAAAGTTAAGAGCCATCTAGAGATATTTTTTTTATAACATTAGATGTATTTAATTTAAAGGACTATTCTTATTTTGAGATTATGCCCTTTTTCTTTTTTTCTTTTGGTCCTAACATGCCTTTTTAAAAAATGAATACAGGTATTAGTACATGATACAGCCACCTCCCCTTGACTTAATTACATAAAAAGTTGACTATTTCATGTCATTTCCCAACATTTTGTTGGAAACTTTACTACCTCATGAAACCCAAAAAGCCTACATTCTTCATCTGGGGAATTCGCCCATCTGTGTACCTGATTATACACAGATGTTAAACATCTGAATCCTGCCTTCTATGGTTTTCAGCTAATTGTTTTAATGCTCCTAAAACCACTTTGTGGTTGTCTTCAAAAGCTGGAAGTGAAGTGGAAAGATTCAAAGTCTGGCACAGAACAAATCATGTGCCTAAAATAGAGGTGTAGACGACTAAGAGATCACTCTTCTATTTATGTGGTAATCTTGTTTCTTTATGATTTATGCTTGCAAATATTTCTTGACCAAGAGAGTGGAGAAATTTTTCTTTTCTTTTCTCTTTTTTTTTTTTTGAGAAGTGCTTCATAGAGTAAATACAAGTATAGAGGCTTATAACATAATGCCTGCTTTCAACCTATGATATCAATTTCCACTGGTTTTTAAGAGTTTGGGTGTTTTTTGTATTGTGCAGTGTTCATCGATTTTGTCTTGTAACAGGTTCAGAAGAAGAACCCAGTCCTGTCTTGAAAACTTTGGAAAAGAGTGCTACTAGGAAAATGCCTTCCAAAAGTCTAGAAGACATTTCATCAGATTCACCAAGTGAGAAAATTTGCCCCACTGTTCATGCCCCAGTCTGAGCTTAAAAATGCTTATGTGCTCTTCTGTGGCCTCACCGCATGCTTGTTGTGCACTGAAGCCCCTAAAGGGGGCGTTAACGGATGAGAATAACCTTTCCAAAGTGAGCAGAGTGGCTGGAACTTTTAAAATAGTGCATGAGGTTTGGCTACTAGACACTAGGTTTCCTTGAATTGAAGAATCCAAGTTTGAGTGTTTATTCAAGTACAATGAGTTTTAAAAGATTGGGGTAGCTAGTGGTTCTAATAGTAATAGCTAAGATTTACTAAGCACTGTGTACCAAGACTTGGCTAAGCATTTCACATGCATTATCTCATTTAACTGGCATAAGCAACCCTATGAGGATGAATTGTTATTCCCATTTTAGAGATGAGGAAAATGAAGCTCAGAGAGGTAAAGTAAATTGCTTAGTGTCCTGCAGCAGAACTGTGATTCAGAATTAACAGACTAATACCAAGAGTAGTTATGAAGTGACCATGTTATATGTGACAGTGATGGATGTCTGATGAATTTTACATGATATAGAGATGAATGAGTCCCTAGCTTCAGGGACTGTCCTCTTTCATTCCTTCTTTTCACATATTTCTTTTAGATACTGGAACTATAAGCCCAAAGACTATCTGGCCTGCAATACTTTAGGCACACTGTTCCTGCCCCCCCCCCCCAACTGCTCCTTTAATTGGTGAAGGACTTCTTGAGTACTAACATAAAGGATAATATCTATAGGGACTTGTGAGCCACACAAGCAAATTTAGAAATTATGACTTCTAGGGGGTTTGTTCTTAATTGTTTTTAAACTAAGATGCACCCCTGGGAGTGCAGAGGGTCATGAGAAAATTTATTGAATGAAAGTTAACCACTGCCAAACTCATATGATTGAAAGTTGACCATTCTCATGTTTAGAATATGCTTTAGGCACCTGCAATTGAAACTAAAAAGTCTGAATTTAAAAAGGAAAAGGAAAAATCCATTAAATAATTCCTGAAAATCAGAGATTCTCAGGACTCTGAAGACAGTATTCCCAATTTAGGCAGTTCTATCCCCACTGGAGATCTTAGAATCTCGGGGTTAGAAGTGACCTTGAAGGTCACCCATTTTACACTCCTCCCCACCATGCAGGAATTTTCTATAAAGCCTCCTCAACAGGTGGCCAACCCCCTACATCCGCCTGAATGCTCCCACAGAAAGGGAGTCCAGTCCTTTGTTGGACCGCCCTAATTGTTCTTCCTGATGTTGGCGATGGGTCCTGAAAACAAAAACAAAAACAAAAAACTCAGCAACAATTGTCCAGTTTGACAAACCTCTTGCCTGTGAATCATGGGGATATTTTCATGGTGCAGCTTTAAAGTACTTAGGAATGTGTAGGGTTAAAAAAAAAATCACCATCAGCTGACGGGTATTCCTGCACGCTCCCTTCCAAATACCGATACCCACTCTCACACTAGCCTGCCAAGATTCCACTTAGCAGCTGGTCCCCAGTTACATCTCTTCAGTTGACTTCCCAAGCAAGGCTCCCAGAGGCTTACACAAATGATGATGCATGCACAGAAATATTTGTTAATGACCATGGGTTTGAGAAGGTGTTAGTCATGGCTAGCATCTTACCCTTTCCAGAAGAATAGAGAGGCTGTTGCAGCCCTGTGTTTTCTTCTGCCTCTGGCCGATTGCTTGCTCTTAGCTAACCCACTAACCCTTGGGAGTCCGTGTGCAGCAGTGTGCTGATGTAAGCTGCATCGGGGCTGAAATGGGAGCTCCCGCTATGGCACTGGTTCAAGTAGCTAATCTAAAGAGAAAGTATTTTGGGGAAGACATCTTGGTTGCACCCCTCACTGCATCTTGACTAATTGCTTCCAACTCCGGGGGCTTCCAGGGACAGTCTCATTGTTCTCTCTCGCCAAGGGTCAGCCGTGTTAACCATTTGTTAATTTCTCCTGAACAGATCAAGCAAAAGTAGATAATCTGCCAGAAGAATTAGTACGTAGTGCTGAAGATGGTAAATATCTTTACGTATTTGCATGTCTGTCTGGGGCGGTTTGGGCAGTCACCGGGACGCAGCTGTTGGATAAATAGAAGAACGTCATTTGCCACTATGTGATGAATGGTGCCTAAGTTATTATAAAATGGTTCTGACTCGGTGCATTTAATACTAACTATTTGTATTCTCAAGGCTTCTGCTGGTGATACCTTTGTGAGGATCTCATCAGAGACCCTTGGCAAGCGAGGGTTTCTATAAATAGGAAATTGTATTTCTATTGGTATGAGCTGATTTTTGCTACTCTGACTTGCAAAACTCCTTGCGAGGGCAGGAAGCATCGGGTGGGTTCCTGGGTTAAGTTATTCCTGTATTGGATTCGCACATCTCAGCATTTGGATCTCTCTGGCATAGCTGGTAAAGCTTTAACTTCAAAGGAAAGAGTCCCAGAACCAGAGTCAGGAACCTCCTTGGGTAATTTAAATAGCTAAATATAGACTGAGGTAAAATTTAACTGGTTCTGAATATCCAGGAGCCAGAGATTTTGAACTTTGTCAATGGATTATTACTGGGTTCAGTTATAAAATACATAGGGTAATAGTGCCTTTGGGGGGAAGGGATGGAAATGAGTCTGATCTTTATATTTTATAGCTCAGCATTTATGCAAATGTATAGTTTACATTTGTATACTAGAATTGTGTTTTCTAAATTGCCTTTACTATAATAAAAAAAAATGTGTATTAACTGAGTTTTCCATATAAAATGCAGCATCAGAGCTCCTCAAAGGTCATTCCTTACTTTTATGTCATAGTTTTATCTTTTTCATTTCATGTTTACAACAACTTCATGGAAGTAGGCGGGGCGGGGATTTTCATGGTCCTTTACTGATAAGAAAAGCTCAGAGAAATTAGGTGCCTTTCTAAGATCCTATAGCTGGTTGGTCAGTGGAGGGAGGTGGCAGCTAGAATCTCGGCTTCATTGCTCCTAGTGCAGTGCTCTTTGCATTTCCCAAGCTATGTGTGGCTCAGTGAATTAGAGGAAAGATGCTAAGCATCTCCTGTGCTGGATGTTGGATTTTTAGTTGAACAGGAGACCCTAAAGCGGCTAATGAAGAGTTACTCTGGGGATCAGATGAAAGCAAGCTAAAAACCCATCAGATGTATTCTTCAGTCTCTGTTGTGAAACTGACATTTGAGCTTTACTTTCATGTCTCTTTAATCCTTCTGTTAAAATGGTATTTATTCTCAATGTTGCTCTTCTGAGTAGATCAAAAAGCAGATCAGGAACCAGATACAAATGAATGCATACAAGGAAGTGAGTAGCAGGATCTTTCTCACAAATGACTAAATGTTGCCACTTTACATGGTGTTAAATATACTGAAATAACTAACACTATTAATAACACAGTATTTATTATTGGTACTAAACTCTTGCAGCTTATAAAACTATTTCATTCTGGCAAGCGTTTTATTAAAAACATTTTACTGCTGTCAGTGTTGAAAGATTAATTCACGGTTCCACTGAGGAAGAGTTATGTACTTAAACAATTTTTATGTAGACACACACACACACACACATATGTGTGTGTGTATTTTATATATAAATATATACATGTATGTTATTGCTGAGTATTATACTTTTGTACATCTCTCTGCTCTTTGAGTCTTGGCTTAGAATGAAGTTGGCACCTTGTCTTATCACTTGACTTTTATGTTGCAGTATATGGTCTTGAGTATTGGATCTCTTGTGGCCTTTACACAAGACTGTAGACATGACACAATTTATGAGTTATTTAGACATAAGAAAGAATTGTACTTTTACAAGTATGTGGTATGGTTGTATATGCCTCTCTCCATATCTATGGAAGCAAATTTTATTATGTCCAGGGTTTAAGCTCAAACTGGACTCAGTATATATTCAATATATAAAGCAAGTGAACATCTGAGTTTTAAGAAGTAAGTGTATACTTGTGGTGGCTAATGTCCATCAGCTAATTAATATCCACCACGAATCAAAAGTAATGATTATTTACTCTTTTCTGTTCAATCTTAAGATTGAGGTACTTAACTCTGACTACTGTCTCAAGGACAAATAGCACATTTAAAGGGAGTTGATGGGCCTTGCAAAGGATGCAGATAATGCGTGTGTGTCTTCTAAGCTTCTCGCTTTCAGTCAGTTTCATAATGCTAGGTGCTGGAGGTATGAAGACAATGATACACATGTCTGCCCTCAGGAGTCTACAAGATTTTTATTGACAGTTTGCCAACAGTCTGGATGTGCTAATAAGTCTTAATGAGAACAGCAGCTAACTGAAGGAGCCATTCGATAGAGAAACAAAGTGCTGATGCTAGAAGGCAGTGACATCTAGTCTGAAATCTGAAACTTTGCTCATAAGGTCATGCCAGAGAGGAAGGTGTTGAGCTCTGGCACATGACCTGGCAAAAGGACACTCCAGGCTTCAGATCTTAGTGTGTGTTCTCTGTCCAGCTGCTGCAGAGGAAACAAAACTCCTGCCCCTTGGGGTTGTTGGGTAAAGAGATTTCTCCAGTTGCTTTTGAACTGGCAGATACTTAGGTATGGTCATCTTGTTTTATCTTGTTACATTTTGTTCAACAGTTAGCGGAGGAGTGAAAACAGTAACATGGACATATACGCCAATGTACCTGTGTCTTCATTCATGACCCAGCTTAGGTCAAGCCACGAAGGCTAGTCATGTGCTGAATTCTGGATGTATTGATTTCTCTCTTATTTTATATTATCCAAGATGACTTTAATGTCTGGGCTGAGACTATTGCTTTTCTCCAGTGAAGACTGTATTCTTACCAAAAAACAAAATGAAATACATGATCAAAACATAAATAACTGAAGCCTAATAAATGTAAAACTGACTACATTTGAGGAGCAGATGTAGATTTTGCAAATAATGGGAAGCAGTATTACATAAGTTTTGTGTACTCATTGGGCTGTACTGTGCCCTCACGGGACCTAGTCTTACACCACTTCAGTGTAAGTCACCTGAATATGCACACATACATATTATTGTTTAATGGGAAGCAATTGAAAAAGGTATCATTTCATGAGTCACCGTAAAATGTGTTTCGATACATTTGTGAGCCAAAGGCTAGGTGAGAACTATGTGAATAAGAAAATATTTAATATATATAGTTCAGTTTTCAGTTTTCCTTCATTAGATTTCTTTTAACCAAACATGAATTTAGCTAATGCTTAGGGCTGAATTTGAGGCTTTTGAGTTATATATAGAAATATAATTTGATTTTTTATCTATTTTCCTGGTATCCTTTGACTGCTAAAACCAAGTCAGTATATTCCAGCACATGGAATAGGTAATTTAAGGATTATCAGACAATATTTACTTTTTTAGCAAATAATTATATAGAGAGTATACTATGTGCCAGGCACTATTCTAAGGGCCTTGAAACATGTTAACTCATATAATATGCAAGCTCTGATTCACTGTAAGAAAAGCTTAGACACTAATTCTTTCTTTCTTTCTTTCTTTCTTTTTTTTAGTTTATTTTTTGAGAGAGCACGCATGAGAGAGAAGGGGCCAGGAAGAGAGAGAGGGAGAGAGAGAGAGACAGAAAGAGAGAGAGGGAGAGACAGGTAGAATCCCAAGCAGACTCTTCACTGTCAGAATGGAGTCCATCGTGGGGGCTTGAACTCACAAACTTCAAGATCATGACCTGAGCCAAAATTAAGAATTGGATGCTTAACCACCTGAGCCACCCAGGTGCCCCAGACACTAATTCTTAAAGAAGGAAATAGGTTTCTAACTAGAATTACACAAATGAGGAATAAAATTCATCATCTCATTGTGACTTCCACGTATATACTTACTGTATCAAAGGGTATCTAAATTAAGGTGTCTAATAAGTCTAAACAATTTGTTTAAAAAAATAGTTTGGAATCATAGTCTTTCATAATTCTGAGTGAGAAACACTATCAGAGAAGTGATCCTCATAATCACTGAACAAACAAGCCTTCTCTTAGATGCTCAGTAGCCAGGACACTTTTATGATTGAGTTGTGTACGGAGATCCTTGCTGTCCAATGAAATAGTTTTTCAGCCTGCAGCATGTTTTAAAAATACATCTCAAGGAGATGAACCAATAAATCACACATCGTGTGGTTCAAATCTCTGATGTGAAAAATAAGTAAAACTGATTCACAATGTCTCTATGTTTTAATAAATATAATCAACTCCAGCTCCAGATTAATAAAAATGAACAGTTTTTAAATTAATTCTTATTTTCAATTGGTTCATCTCCTTACTAGTTCTCTCTATATAATTTATGAAAACTGCATGTTGCTTATCTTAGGATCCTGTGCATGTGAACTACTGTGCCTTTAACCTTTTTATAAAAATTTCTCATTCATAGATGAAAGAAAAGTGTGTTTTCAACTTATGCTTTATGTTTGTCCAAAATTGTAAGGATAATTTTGAATGGAAATGCTGCTGTTTAGTTTCCACAGTGCCTTCACAACCTGATAATCAGTTTTCCCACCCTGACAAACTCAAAAGGATGAGCAAGTCCGTTCCAGCATTTCTCCAAGATGAGGCAAGTTTGTCTTTTGTAATTTCAGAAAAATGGAACCAAATCGGTGAGTTTGTTCTGCCAAGGTTGGTGTGTTTTTATTCAGCTGTGGCAGAGACCAAAGAGGTCAGCAGGACTGACCCATGAACTTTCCTGTCAATAAAGGTAGTGTTGTTGATCCTGGAACGAGGCATGGCATGTCTCATTTGACTCAAACGGCAACTCATTTTGGTGGTGAAGTCAAATTGCGTTGATTTTGGAATATGACTTTTGTTTCAAAGTGGGTACAAAATAAGAAACCCCTACAGAAATATGTTGGTGTGAAATAACCACTCTTTAGTTTACAGTAGAGTTGATTTGTGAAAGCTTAGTCTGGGTAGCATGACTAGCTTGAAAGCATTTGGTAAAGTAATAGAGTGACAATTATACAGCAGACTTTAAGGATATCTCCTGGGCATAGACAATTTGTGTACATTATCTCATTTATTCCTCCAACAAGCCTAGAAGGCGGGCACCATCATTATCCCCAGACTTTACAGGTCAGGAAACACCATGAGAGGTAAATAACATCACTCATCTAGAAAAGGGTTGAACTAGGACTGGAGCCCAGATCCGATTATCATGGTTAGCCATTATGCCTAGTGCCTCAGGTCAGAACAGGACTATTATCTGCTATTCCCTGAATACTTTGTAAATACCAGGCACTTAATATTCATTCTGATATCTAACTGTCACTAACTAAATGTGGTAGGTACATAAAACAGGAAAGTGCCTGAGATGTTAAATAACTTTCCCCAAATCCAACAGCTGCTAAAAAGTAGACCTAGGACTTTAACTTAGGTCCTTTGACTTAGTTAAGATTCCATGTTCTGGGTTGGGGGATGGGTTAAAGAGGTGAGAGGGATTAAGGAGTGCACATGTCACGATGAGCACTGGGTGTTGTATGGAATTATTGAATCACTATATTGTACACCTGAAACTAATATAACACTGTAAGTTAACTAGAATTAAAATAAAAACTTAAAATTCCCCCCCCCCCAAAAAAAATAAAAGATTCTATGTTCTTGCAGCCAGGTAGTTAGGAGCTTGGAGTCAGACACTCCTACTTCTGGCTGTGCTACAAATTTGCTGTGTGACTATGGGCAAGTTTCTTACTTTCCCTGTGTCTGGGAAACCTGATTAGGTTGTGAGGAGTCAGTGAGATAATGGAGGGAAAACACAGGGCATCGTGCCTGACACATAGTGAATACCCAGTAAACATGAACTGTTACTATTTTCAGTTCGGGTCTGATTTTTGATGGTAAAATTAAAAGCTTTATCCTCAAGCATTCTCTTTTTTTTTTTTTTAATTTTTTTTTCAACGTTTATTTATTTTTTGGGACAGAGAGAGACAGAGCATGAACGGGGGAGGGGCAGAGAGAGAGGGAGACATAGAATCGGAAACAGGCTCCAGGCTCTGAGCCATCAGCCCAGAGCCCGACGCGGGGCTCGAACTCACGGACCGCGAGATCGTGACCTGGCTGAAGTCGGACGCTTAACCGACTGCGCCACCCAGGCGCCCCTCAAGCATTCTCTTAGTAGATGAAATATGAGGAAAGTTCTAGACAGCATATAAATTACATATCTCTTGCCTGACCTCCTGGCCTTCCCTTTGTCTATTCTTGGGCCTTAGATGAACTGTATCTGCAAATATTCACCCCTGCTTATGCATAACAGCCCACATTATAGTTCCTTTGAAAAGAATCACTCATTCTTTGAAACTAAATCATTAGTTGGAAGCCACTGGTAGGCACCTCATGGAGTTCCTGTGGTTTTATACCTTTGTAAACAGGCTTTGGTCTTGGTTGGTCATATGAATAAGCTATATAATAACTGAAGAGGCAAGTGATACCAGTTCTGGTTTTTCATTCTCCTCCTTCACTTTTAATGTGCTGCCTCACAGCTCCACACAAAGGAGAGTCCAAGTCATTTGAGTTTGTGCATCAGAGATGCCAAATTAAGCTGTATAATTTTGTCTTTCAAAGCACATGGGTCAGACTAAATGTTAAAGGAAGTGGACATGAAACCAGGCCTTGTGCCTTTGTCCATTATCCCTTTGAGGCTTAGTTTAACATCAGTCACATTTGTTGAGTACATGCTATGTGAAAATTGGTGTTCCAGGTCAACAAGACAGGATCCCATCTTTCATGAATTCACTAGTGACCTGATATACTAGGTAGACCATAGTGCATGATATAATAGAGGGAAATGGACTGTAAGCATGTGGGGAGAGGGTGTGACAACAGAGACATTTAAAGGGTATGGTGTTTTGTTGTTGTTGTTTTTAAATCCTTGAGGGAGGATATTTTTCTTATCCATATAAGTCATAAATTTTGTTTTTCTTTAACTCCTTAACTCTGCATTTGAATTGGCATCTGTTATATTGATACATAATTGCATGGCCCCAGAGTATGTTGGCATGAACTAACTACTCCATACAGATGTTTCCCTAACTCCACTGAACTGCTCCATAAACTCTCTAACCCCAAAAGGAACACATTCTGAATCATGAATTTTTAAAGGTACTGTCTGATAAACTTTAGCTCTGAATATAATAAAATTTATTATTGCCACTTTTTTTTTCTTGACCCAGGTAAATATTTCCTGGGACATATTTAAAATAACACTTTAAAAAATTGTTAAAATCTAATGTGGGTAGAATTTAATACATGTTAATAAATGTAATTTAATATATACTTCCCTATAGCAATAAAAAGATAAGCACAATAGCACTATGAAAATACATGAGGTGGTTTAGAATTCTTAAATATGTATATATATAAGTTCTAGTTGAAACAGATCAAACTAGCATTTATTTTTCTAGTTTAATAGTGTCTCAAGTAAAAGATTTGAATTTTAGGGAAGACAGGCTATGTTAATAATGAGGAATTATGCACGACATTTTATGTTTTGATAGTAAGTCTTAGACCTTTTATTGTGTGGGTAAAGTTAACTTCTCATATCTATCAGTAAAGTTCCCCACGTAACCTAAATACATATACTAAGACAGTAACAAGAAAGCTCACAGTAATGCTGCCTTCTGTAGCACTATGGGCCCACCTTGTAGGTGAAAAAAAAAAAATCACTTTGTTATTTTGGTAGCAAAGCACTGCTCTCCTCCTTAGGTGAGGTCCAAGATAGACCACCCATTTCATCCTAAATCCCATTCCCTGGTGATTAGCACGAGTGTCTTTTGACCTTCAGAAATGTTGACAGATCCCTGGGATACCAAGATACCATATTTTTCTAAATTGAGATTCTGATCTTCACTCATCCTGAATTTAAATTTTGTGTATATTATATGATGTTTTGTAGAGTGATGACAGAGAAACAGATACAGCATCAGAAAGCAGTTACCAGATCAGCAGACACAAGAAGAGCCCAAGCTCTTTAACCAATCTTAGCAGCTCCTCTGGCATGACGTCCCTGTCTTCTGTATGTAAACAAAGGCTCCGTGTTAATATCTCTCTGCTTCTGTGAACCTTGCTCTGCCGTGCTCCTTCTTACTATAAAATGGCTCCCATTGTATTCCCAGATTCCAAGGGCACTAGCTTTTTCTCTAACCCACAATTAGCTTCTGGCTAGCTAAATCTTTGTTTTTCTTTTTTTAAGCATAAAAAGAGTTCACATCCATTATAAATGAATATGTTTTTTGGGATGTAAGTGCTTTAGAAATAAGCCTAAATTACCAACAAGATGAACCACTGCATTTTTCTCTGCAACAAATGGGGTAACTATTGTTAAGTTCTGCTTATATTAGATATGTTTTATATTCTCTTTGCAGGTTTAGAATTGTATCTCTCTTTTAGCAAACCTGATGAATAAAGGTACTGATTCACATAAAAGAATAGGATTTCTTTGCCTTACAGAAGGATTTAGAACAGGGTTTTAAAAGGAAATCTACTTAAGTGTATTCAGGTTGGCTTTAGAAAATTTGACCCTACCTAGAACTTCTTTCATAAAGTGAGATCAGTCATTGTGCATGTAGTATGTGTGTAGAAATATATATATGTAAATATATCCACATACACTTACCAAATAGTTCTCTGATATACATAAACATGCACATATCTCACCAGGTATGCTAATCAAATGATAAAACTGTACTTAAATTCTTACTAGCCTCCCATTTCTCAAACTTTAAAAAAAAAATCTGTTTAAATTGAATTTCTGCTGATAACAATCAAATGTTTGGCCTTGGGAAGGCTTTCAACTGCCTTCATCAATCATCCATTCTCTACCCTTCCTGACCTCTAAAGGCGTATGGCCCAGTAAGCATTTTCCTAGATTTAGTGGATGAGTAACATAGTAAAATTCCTTTTTAGTGCCTTGGAAATTTGATAGAGCAATGTGTCACTGTGATTTGTGTGCCTGGGGTTTCTCACATCCTCTTTCTTTAATGTCTTAAATACTAAGCATGCCTAAAAATGGAACTTTGAATGCCCCCCACCATAAAAATCCCCCTGCTTTGAAATGAGCCAGTATCTAAATAACTTTGCATTTCACTTTTCATCTGTATCTTTTAGAGGCATTTTTTTTTTTTTACACACTAGTTGTGCCATATATTACGTCAGGTTGTCTGTGTTGGCCTGTCTTTATGCCATATTTTATTAATTGCCTTAAGTGCAAACTAGAGAAATAATGGCAAGCAAAGATTATATTCATGATCCTTGTATTGGATTTGTGAAAGAGATAGAAACAAACACTGTGTGTTTCGGATGCTTTCAGGTGAGCGGCAGTGTGATGAGTGTTTACAGTGGAGACTTTGGCAATCTGGAAGTGAAAGGAAATATTCAGTTTGCAATCGACTATGTGGACTCATTGAAGGAGTTGCATGTCTTTGTGGCCCAGTGTAAAGACTTAGCAGCAGCAGATGTTAAAAAACAGCGCTCAGACCCGTAAGTACAATTTGAAGTAACTGTTTTCTCTTAGTTATTCGTAATCTTGCAGAAACTGGCCAAGAAAGAAAGAAATTGAAGGGAGGGTATGTGTGTGACTGCATCAAAAAGAAATGTTTGACAAGAACAGTTTGGGGAAAGTGCTGTTTTATTTACTTTATAAATTCATATGCCAAAGTTATTAAACTATAAAAATGTCAGAGAAGCACAAAATATTTCAAGTTGGAAGGGACCTTTGAGGCCATCTTGTCCCATTCATTCTTTTAACAGATAAGGAAATTAAGGCCAGAAAAGATAAGTGACCTATTTACATAAATTCAGAGAGTCAGCAGCAAAACTGGGAATAAGGGCTTAAACCCTAATCTGTTCCCATGACTCTCAAACTTCTCTAAAGTTAGGGGCATGTAGGGGCATACTTCAGAATGTTCAGTGGTGCAGGAACAGTTAAGATTCTAGACTGAGGTAGATTCTAAATTTAACTTCTATTTTACAGAAGAACTTTAGGGGGAATTACCAACTCGTCTTTTAAAGATTTTTTTTTTTTCAACGTTTATTTATTTTTGGGACAGAGAGAGACAGAGCATGAACGGGGGAGGGGCAGAGAGAGAGGGAGACACAGAATCGGAAACAGGCTCCAGGCTCTGAGCCATCAGCCCAGAGCCTGACGCGGGGCTCGAACTCCCGGACCGCGAGATCGTGACCTGGCTGAAGTCGGACGCTTAACCGACTGCGCCACCCAGGCGCCCCCCAGCTCGTCTTTTAAATCAGAGGCTTAATTGATATTTCAGTTTATTTGCAAAAATTGAGTACATTCCTCACTTATCCTTATGCAGAAGTCAGATTCTTAATTATTTTGCTGGTATAAGCCTAATCCTTCATGCTTTTATTATAAAAACAATTGGGGCCAGTATACTTTTTTCCCCCATTGAATGTGGCTTGATTAGGTTGGTGCTAAGAGTAATTTTTGTTTTCAAAAGGCAGTAACAAAACTTTTTTAAAAATTCTGTAAGCACCAGTCTTTTCTTAATTGGAAACAAGCCAGTAAAATTAAGCACTACATTAGAGGTCTGTCCCCCACCACCCTCCATATCAGATACGGCCAAAGAAAAAAGGAGTTCAGGAAATATCCTTTAAAAATTTTTAAAACAATTATGAAATGATCAATTCTGCTGCAATGTGTTTAAACGTTTAAGTATAAAAGACATTAGTGAGAACATTCATTTACTTATCACTTTTCTGAGTGTCATGAATTATTTCTGTCAATTACCAATGCATTTTTCAAAGTAGAGATAGAAACATGACTTTTATTTTCTCTGACCTTCTTGTCTTTCCACTTCTCTTTTTAGATATGTAAAGGCCTATCTGTTACCAGACAAGGGCAAAATGGGCAAGAAGAAAACACTTGTAGTGAAGAAGACCTTGAATCCTGTGTATAATGAGATACTGCGGGTATCTATGAACTCTCTGTCTAGGAAAATCCTAAATAATGATGTGTCACTGTGATTATGTGTAAATAGCCATGTTGTCTAAAATTTTTTTAATGTGTGTTTATTTTTGAGAGAGAGGGACAAAGAGACAGAGTGTGAGCAGGGGAGGGGCAGAGAGAGCGGGAGACATAGAATCCGAAGCAGGCTCCAGGCTCTCAGCTGTCAGCACAGGGTCCAACTCAGGACTCCAACTCACTGAGATCATGACCTGATCCAAAGTCCAACGCTTAACCAACTGAGCCACCCAGGTGCCCCTAAATAGCCACGTCTTCTTGGGTAGTATCTCTACAAGTGAAGTCAGTCACGGGGAGAGAAAAAGGGAAGGAATAAACATTTTCTGACAAACTGCCTTGCATGAGACCATACACCTTGAATGTTGTTTGCGTTCTGTCATGCATTCTCTACATAGGCCACCAGGAGGATACTGCCTGCACCTCACAGATGAAGCAGGTGAAGCTTAGAGAAACAAAGGAAATTGCTCAAAGACACACAGCTGACAGAATTGAGCATCGTAAAAATGATTTACCACGAGCATAATTCTGATCATGTTATTTCTCTGCTTAAAATCTTTTAGGATTCCCATTACCCTTAGCGGCAAGTCCATCCTTCTTAACACGTCACCAGTCCCTCCACAACCCAGGCTCCAGCCTCCTCTTTTCAATTTCAGTCTTTGTTCAGGTCACCCTGATTCCTTTCTGTTCTTTGGAGGAACTGACTACATTTTCTCACACTGCTGGACTTCCTGTTCCATCTGGCCAGAGGGCTCTTTCCCACATTCTATCCCCAACTACCTCCTACAGCCTTAAATGCCTCTTCCTATGAGAGGCTGTCCTTAACCCATCAGGCCACCTTGCGGTCTGCTAGCCTCAGTCACCTTGTTCTATATTAGGCTTTGTTAACACTCAGCACTTGAACTACTAGCCTCATTGTCTGCTTTCCCATTAAACTGTGAGTTCCAGGAGGGCAAGGTCCAACTCTGTGCCATTTATCAACTGTGTGCGTTTGGGCAAATGACTGAACCTGTCTGTGCTTCATATCTGCCAAAGGGAGACAATAAGAGTACCTACCTACTTCAGTAGGTGTGAACATTAAAAGAATTAATATATGCAAAGTGATTAGTATGTATTAAACACATGTTGACTCAATACAGTGTATGAATAGGTACTCAAAAAATGTTTATTGGAAGGATAGATGGGTAGACAGATGAATAGAAAGTATACCTGCCTCAAATACCCATATTTCCCCCAACCCCAGACTGTATAATGTTGTCTTAGTCATGATAATTTGAAACTGGAAACAGAAGAAGTGTCATTCATTCCCTTTTTCTGAAAGGCTGTCCAACTATTTGATTATCCTCTGAGGAAAGAAGCAGAATTAAATTAATTTTCACTCATCCATGGGTCAATTTTTTACAGATTTTCGGTAGCCAGTTTTTAATTACAGTTTGACTGTGATATACCTCCATACCCTAGCTGTTTCTGGGTCAACTACTTCAACCCTATACTCAGGAAAAGCCACCTAATTTAAATGGTAAATTCAGAGAAAGACCAGCCTGCTACAACCAAAATGGACATTCAAGTAGTACATCATAAAACCAAATAGAGATTATTTTTAGGTCAGAAGTACTATTATCCCTCCCATGATTATATACAATCTAGGATTGATTGCATCTTAGATGAAAAACTGTTAGGATGCCAGATATTTTCCACTTAACCATATGAATCAGGAAAAAGGAATTTAATTGAAAAGTACCTTGTCATTGCAGGATATCTATAGTGGGAGACGTTGTGTGTAAATGGGGGCAAGTGGTATATAGGAATTTTCTGTACTTTCTGTTCAGTTTTGCTATAAATCTACGACTGCTCTAAAAAATAGAGTCTATTAGAAAAAAAATACCTTGTCCTTAGGTAGAAAACAGACCACAGGATTAAACTTCATTAGCATTTTGAGACTGAATTGGACTTATGTTATATCTAGTTTGAACAAAAAAACATCCAGTAAAAAATGAATAATTGGCTTTCGTTTTTATAAAGCTATTACTGGCTATGATATTTGAACTGTGGTTTGCTTTTCCAGAAGCAGAAAGAAAATCAGCTTTTGTGAAAGATGGATTTAGCTCTTTGAAACAAGACACTTAGAATAAGATGACTTTGCAATATCTTTGAGACTTGAAACCTAGCAGATGAGAAAACCTGATCTGTACAGATGACTTTTCTCTTTATCTCTGTGTCATAACTTTGGCATAAAATAATATTATTCACCACTTTAATTTCCTTCTTTGATCTGCAGTATAAAGTCGAAAAGCAAATCTTAAAAACACAAAAGCTGAACCTGTCCGTTTGGCATCGAGATACATTTAAGCGCAATAGTTTTCTAGGGGAAGTGGAACTTGACTTGGAAACTTGGGACTGGGACAACAAACAGAATAAACAACTGAAGTGGTACCCTCTGAAACGAAAGGTAAGTTCTGACGTTTTTGGTTTGTTGGTTGGTTTGGTGCCTGGCATGTAGGAGAAAGCTACTATAAACTGCATTTTAATTAATAATGGTTATCCCTTGTTTGGGATCATTATATCTTTCACTCTGTCCAATATGTCTCTTATGCGCTTTTAATGTATTTTCTGTTCTTTTTTTTTTTTTCTCCTCTCCAGAATTCAGGCTGGCTACTTTCTGCTAACTTGTCTTTCCATTCAAATAATTTTCTTATCTGCTATGTCTAAAACACCCATCTTACAGGTTCTCAATTGTTATATTTTTCAGATTTATATTTTCATTCGATTTTTCACAGACCACTTCTCTCCTAAAATTCTCTATCTTAACATTATCCTCATGAACATATTAATCAAAGTTATTTAAAATATATATCTGAAAACCCAATATCCTAAACATTTGTATGTCTCTTTTATCTAATTTTTTATCTTAGTTTGGTCATTTGGTCCTTTGTCTTGGTATGCCTGTTCATTTTTTATTGTAAGCTAGACATTGTATATGAGAGTTCTAGGGATACTTTGAGAGGATTTACTTTCGTTTCTGACACACAGAGTGGGGACAGAACACTTTAATCTGAGAACAAACTGACTAGAAGCTGGGTTTCAGTTTTCATGTGGTCTCATGTAGTTTTTGTTTGCTCAAATTCCTAGCCTATGGCCCTTCAGGGATTCCAAGTGAAAGCCTAGGGAAGTAGTTATCAGATTTTAGCATGCACCCCATTCACGTGAAGTACTTATTATAATACAGATTTCCGGGCCCTATTGCCAGGGTTTCTGATTTAGTAACATCTGGGCCCAAGTTTCTAGCCATGGCTGGTTGCTGATACAGCATCTTGCCTGGGGACCATACTTTGACAACCACTGATCTAGAGTATGTCTAAGGCTATTCCTTTCTATTATGCTCTAGTTTGGCACTACTTAAAAATCAGCTGATGCCTCAAAGTGAAAAGCAACAAATGTCAGACTCAAAGATGTTCTCCATTTGAGTCGTGATAATAATTCATTAATTCCTTCAAATAAATTTGTTTAATCCAGTTTTTTTTTATTGTTCCCAGTGTGAGGGTTGGTATGATCTCAGCTGG